GATGCAACGCAACGCGTAAAAAGACAGTATAAGTCATTATAATCCGTAATTACGTCCCCACTGGATGCTACAAATGCCTCGTTTATAATGGGTTTTAATGTTTTTGTCTGGTCGCTCCGGCCGGACAGGGCATCACAGTATGGTAAGGGGCGTAACATTTCCATCACACGCTTGAGGTATTTGGCCAATCACAATGCACTGGATAGCTGGCCAATCAGAGCACACCTCGCTTTTCAGACCGATGAACTTTGTAAAAATCGACGCGTTTCAGAAAGGTGGGGCATAGAGGAGAAACAATAATGCATGGAAAAGAATGTGTTTTTTGAACCTTAAACCGCATAAACACATTTCATTACACCAAATACACCAAATAATGTTCTTTTTAGCAACATCATATGACCCCTTTAAAATTTTATATAGACCACGTTTTTATAAACATTTTTTGAAAATTTACCGCTTAGGCAATAACGTTGACAATAACGTATATCTTCAACATACGTTGTCTATGACCAAAAATGTAAGAAGATATGTTTTCAGTGGACTTTTAAGATCTGCTTTGCTTGAGAAAACAAAAATATACAGTTACAGTGTTTTTTTTCTTTTGATTTAGTTGAGTTGGTTTTGCATCAAACACAATGTGATTTTCAGCAATGTAGATCTGACATCAACAGCACATTTTTCTGCTTGGGCGAGCGCTTTGCGGACAGCTTACCTCGCGCATTAAATCTGCCGCAGACCAGCAAATCACTGAGAACGCGCTACAATCCTGACGAGTCATAGCAACAGAGCGGTGGCGAGAAAGCTGCGGAGAATCCACTCGCCCAGAAGCAACCACAACTGGTAGATTTAAAGAAAATTACTGCCGTTTGGCAAATAAATCATTGTACGTTCTTATTCCTAACTCTTTAAGCTTTAAGTTACATTTCAAATGACAAGGGATCAACTTATAATCATGTTTATATGAATTATCCCATGAACTTTTTCTCTCAAATGGCCTGGGTATGCGGAGCATTCGCAGCTTATATGGACGGAACGCCACTGGTATAAAGTGTTTATGTTACTATGTTATGTTTTTATTAATTCATACAAAACCCTCATTGTTTTTTTTTTGAGTCAGAGAAATACTGCTTCTATTAAACGAAACAATTATTACAGCTTGTAGTTGTAGTTGTAGTTTACATTTCTTTAATCATAAGTAGCTTGTAGCTTGAAAAGTTTCTCCAATACTGGTTGGTAGTAGTTTCTTTAGCGGCTAGCAAAGCATGTTTCACACTGGGGTACTCATAAAATATGCTCATCATCTAAATGCAATACAAAGGACACTGTGGAGCAAATGACTGAAGATGTCTCACCGTCAAAGATTTCGTCTCCATCATTCATCAGCTCATCGTCAGAACAGATGCTCAACACATTTACCAGCATCTCCGTGACTGCAGGCAAAGCACAGACAGTCAATCGCAACATAGCAAAACAACATTTAGTTGAAAATATCGGACATAAGCACAAGCTTTTTTTGCTGTGTCTGTTTTTTCTTAAGGAAAAAGTATTGGAGATGATCAAGTTTTGGGTTAAGATTTTTTGGGGAAAGAAATTAATACTTTATTCAGAATACTTTATGGCAGTAAGAACATCTATTTCAAATAAACTGTTCTTCTGAACTTTGTAATCATCAAAGAATCCATAAAAATTTAATTTTTCATAAAATATTAAGTAACATAACTGTATTCAACATTGATAATAAGAAGAAATATTAGAATGATTTCTAAGGGATGAATGACTGCTGAAAATTCTGCTTAGCCTTCACAGGAATAAATGATATTTTAAAATATATTAAAATAGAAAAAAGTTTTAAATAGCAATATTACTGTTTTACTGTATTTTTGATCAGATAAATGCAGATTTGTTGAGCATAAGAAACTTAAACTAAAAAAACATGAACATATTACAGACAAACTTTTGAGCTATTGTTATGTATGTATGTGTATATATATATATATATATATATGTACTGTATATATATATATATATATATATATATATATATATATATATATATGCGACAGAGGTACCTTTCTCCCCCACAAATGGAAGTGACCAGGTAAAGACATCCATGAAATTTGGCAGCCAGTAAGGATGAGGGGAGCAGTTAAACTGCCGGATGTTCATTACATTGTTCTCATACTTCAGAACGGCAGCTGAGGAAGTGAATAATAAGAAAAAGTGAGCCTCCGGCCTATGAGCATTCTTGAATCAATAATATGAGAAATAATCTCAAGAGAGCGTAGCTTCCTGGGCCGCTGGGTTTGTTTCCTAATCGACTAATACAAGTGGAATTATTGTCTACATTTTTTGCTAAAGCTGTGTGTACACACAATGATATGACAAAACCCAACCTAAATGAGCTCTATAAGGAAGAACATGTCAATCAAATATGGCGTTAATACACCTGGATATACAGTATATACATTTTTTATGTGGCTGAACATTCATTTTCACAAAGAGCCTCCACTAGATGGTACTGCTGAGAGGTTGACCCTGTTCCATCAGCGGATGATAAGAACACATGGATGGAGTCACTCAAGCTGATGGTCCTGCCCACACTCTCATCCAACTCCCATCATAATGCTCCATTTTTCTCGCACATAAGGAAAAACAGGACTCACCTTTATTGTTGTAAACATCAAGGTAGTTTGGTGCAGAGAAGATGGTAATTAGGGAAGGGAAGCCAGTAGTCTGACTCTTCCTGTACATCCGATACCTGTTAGAAGAGAGAGAGAGGGAAGACAAATCATACTGTAATTTACTTTTTATAGACAAAATGTGCAAAAACCGTACCTGTACGAAAAAAGTGTACCCTTAAAAAACCTTAGTACCTTATCTACCCCTAAAAAAGTGTCACCAAACTCGGTCCTGGAGTTCCAACTTGCCTCAACACACCTGCCTGGAAGTTTCAAGTATACCTAGTAAGAGCTTGATTAGCTGGTTCAGGTGTGTTTGATTAGGGTTGGAGCTAAACTCTGCAGGACACCGGCCCTCCAGGACTGAGCTTGGTGACCCCTGCCCTAAAGGGTGCATATTAATACACAAAAACTGAATTACAGTGCAAAAGACAGGGAATACATACCCTGCATCTTGTGCTTCGTGTGCTCGGATGATTGATAACAAGTTATTATTCTGTAGGAAGTCACAGACAGCTGGATAACTGCAACACAGAGATTGAGAGAAGGAGTGTGTGAATGGAGCACGCGTGCAATTCAATATGTGTCCAGCAGGGGCAGTGTGGTGCTCAACTGTGCAGCATTATCATGTTATGTTAACAGATATCCTGAGAAAGAAATCCTCGTTCTTACATATTTGCAATTCAGAGTTCATATATGTATAGATATAGAATACATTGACAGACTTTTTCACTCACAGTCTCAGCAGACCCTGGTATGATTTGTGTTTCAATGAAAAATTTATATTGTGATAGTATTTAACATTGTTATTGTATCAATAAATATAGTTTATCTCACAATGTTGTATCAGTATTCTCATGCCAAGAATTTTAGTTATACTGTATTTTGCCATACATTTTTCTCAAGAATATTTTTGGTAAAAAGAAGATTGACCACCATTCAGAGCAAGTCTGTGAGAACAATTAAATTTTTTTTCAGTAACAATTTGAAATATGTTTCCATTTGTTAACATTAGCTATAAAATACTTTAACAAATGTATTGCTCCTTATTAGTTAATGCTAGTTAATGCATTAACGGTAACACTTTAGTTTAGGGACTAATTCTCACTATTAACTAGTTTCTCATTTGCATGCATAATACTAGCATATTATTAGTACTTATAATACACATATTCTGTATGAAAATATTCTATATCCCTTATCCTACCCAGTGCCTAAACTTAACAACTACCTTACTAACTATTTATAAGCAGTAATTAGGACTATACTGAGGCAAAAGTCTTAGTTAGTATTTAGCCGAGAATTTGACCTTAAAATATAGTGTGACCGCATTAACTAATGTTAACTAATAGGACCTTATTGCATAGTGTTGCCATTGTTTCTTTTCAACCACAATTGCTATACACTAAAATAATAATAATAAAAAACGCTGCAATATCATATAGAGTGCTTTAGTGCCCGTCCACTTTTTCAGTGCCGTTGGTTCCAACAAGTATTTTTACTTCTGAAACCATAGGGTAAAAAAAAGTCTTTGTTAAAGTGTTATAAGCCATTAGTCAAGCCAACCAGATTCACCACATTACAAACTTTGATTTGAAGCAAAAAGCCAAAATTACAATTGTGCACTCAATGGCTTTGGTGAGGAACAAAAACTACAATCCCATGAAGCACTGCAGGACAGAATTAAAAACTATGGAGAGTTATAAAACGAATCATATTATATTTGTTGATTATACCTATGGAAACAATATATTTTATTTTTATTGCAAAATATGCATAACTATACAAATATTGAAGTATTTTGACAGCATAGCAACTGCCGAATCGATTACGTCATGACTTCATGGGAGTGTGCATTCCCTGCAAATTCCCTGAATTTGCTCGCCATGACTCTCTGATTAGTGGAACTGTCTGTACAGAATCATGGGTAATGTCGTTTTTCATGACAAATTCAACAGTTAAACGGAATTATTTTAAGAATACGTTTTAAAAATAAAGAATAATGCAAATGAATGGCTTCAACAAAAGCATCTCAGTTAACAACCTCAGAACTCACAGTAGGTCTGTGTTTAAAGATTTATTAAAGTTTTCTATGCAATGAAAATGAATGGAGATGGATGCTGTCAGGCTGCACTGTGAGAGAATCCTAACATACGTTTGCCTACAACCCAAAGAGTGTGTAAAGGAGGGTGTGAACTGCTCTCTGTCTTTCTCTCTCTCTCTTGTGTCATCGGCTAATGAGGGGGCACTGCTGCTTTACCACTGCTCTCTACCAATCACTTCTTCCTCTACATCTCTCTTTCTCTCTCGCTATCACTCGCTCCAGTTTGGCAAGAGGAAACGGGTTGTCATGGCAACACCACACTGCAGAGCCCTTGGGGATTGTGGGATAGATCGCGTAGCTGAGTTGCCGTTGCTGGCCGCAGTGTAAGCCCATCACTCTCTCCCTCCTTCCATCTCACTCTTTCTGCTGACTACAGTAAGATCAGGAGGCTGAAAGGACATCCCCCCCATCTCCTCATCTGACAGCTTCACCCTAGTCTCACACGGCCAGACGTTTGATCAGCATAAAGCCTGGTCCACTTCCAACTTAATCTGACAAAGAAATGTCCACTTAGACAAATACTGAATATTTTTGACATATTAGAAACCATATAGAATACATATGAATTGGGAAAAGTACACATTGTTTGCAGACGTAATTTAAAGGAATATTTCCTGTTCATTGCAAATTCATCTCAACTGACATCATGATATGTTGATGAACACAAAAAATTATTTTGACTTGTCTCTGGATTTCTTTACTAAAAAGTGAGGCACTTAAGGTGAGGATGCATTTATTGTTGTTTATGGGTGAAATCCAGTCAATTCAATAGAAATCATTTAACAATAACATTTCTGTGAATATTCACATTCACATTTTTGCTTTTTTTTTTTAAAGGAAAATTATTTTTGTGGTAATTAACATTTTACCACTTGTAGTGAATATTCTCTATAATAAAAATCTAGTTTTGTTCATGGATAAAATGTAATTTATTTGTATTTTTTACTAATTTATACATATATTTATACTAAATGCCGCTTCTATTCTCTAAATGTTTTCATTTGTATGCATGCACTCTGGGAAAACCATATACACGGAGTGTGCGTGTGCATAAAGGCAATCACATAAACAAACGGAGTGAATGGAGTGAAATAGGAGTGATTAAACACCAACATGGTGATTCAGGGAGGTGGGTAGCTCGAGGAACACTGACAACACAGATTAAAACAAATGGCTTCTGTGAGCCTTGCATAACAGAGATGTGTGTGGGTATGTATCTGTCTAAGTAGAATATGCAGCGTTGTGTGTGTGTGTGTGTGTGATAAATTCAGTTACGTGTGTTCTGAAACATGGCTGCCTCTGGTATTATGCATATAACACACAGACACACTAATGAATGTAGGGCTCCAAACCACTGGCCCAAATCTGCAGATTACACCAGACATACAGAGAGAGAGAGAGAGAGAGAGAGAGAGAGAGAGAGAGAGAGAGAGATTAGGAATAGATAGATAGATAGATAGATAGATAGACAGACAGATAGATAGATAGATAGATAGATAGACAGACAGACAGACAGATAGATAGATAGACAGACAGACAGACAGACAGAGAGATAGATAGATAGATAGATAGACAGACGGACAGATAGATAGATAGATAGATAGATAGATAGATAGACAGATAGACAGATAAATAGACAGACAGACAGACAGACAGATAGATAGATACCCTAAAACAAAGCTATTGTATGGTTTCAGAAGACTAAATGCTAATGCTAATGCTAAAACACAAACATTTAAATGCTGAAAAACAACAGACGAATCTTCACTCTTGCTCTAACAGAAACAAACTCTCATTCTCACATACACAAGTGCAATGCCATTCCATTAAATTTTCAGCAGAGTGTGTGAAATATTAAGAGGCTGTTGCTTTATGCAGTCAGAACAGAGGACAGAAAACAAGATCAACCCTGAGCACCTGGAGAGACCCAACACACACACACACACACACACATATATATACGCCCACATATGTGTACAATATTTTACACAACATCAGTGCACACACATATGCACATTCAAAGCATTGTGGCAGTGGCATTAAGACATATATATAGAATCGCGCAGAATTGTGGGATAAAAAGTTGCAATTACCATTTATATATATATATATATATTATTCTTTGGCAGGAAGCCTCATTTAAAACCCTCTGAAATCAGAATAATTTTTGTGAATTCGAGCCTACACTACCATTCTAAAGTTCGGCGTCAGGAAGAAGTTTTTTAAAAAGAAATGAATACATTTATTTAACAAGGACATGTTAAGTTGATCGAAAGTGACAGAAAAGACATTTATAATGCAAAAGATTTCTATTTTAAATAAATGCTGTTCTTCTGCTGTTTGTTTGTTAATCAGAGAATCCCCCCCAAAAAAGGTTAAAGAAGGTATCACGGTTTATACAAAATTCCACATTCATTTTCAACATTGATAATAAGAAATGTTTCTTGAGCAGCCAATCATCATATTAGACTGATTTCTGAAGGATCATGTGTCTCTAAGACTGATGTAATGACTGCTGAAAATTCAGCTTTGCATCACAGGAATAAATTACATTTTAAAAACACATAAAAAAATAAAGAAAACGCTTATTTTCAATTGTGATAATATTTCACAATATTACAATATGTTTTTCTTGTATTTTTGTTCAAATGAATACAGCATTGGTGAGCATAAGAGACTTCTTTAAAAAACATTTTAAAAATCTTACTGACCCCAAACATTTCCTTTTACTATTTTGTTGTTTCATGAATTGTTTTACTATATACATTTTGCTGAAACCCCCATTATTGGCTATTTAACGGCAGATTCTTTTGACAAATTGTCCCATATAGTATGACAATATATTCCCCCTCAGACACATCAAAACTCACACCCTTAAACACACAAAAACCACCCACCTGTAGAAGTATGAGCATCCTCTCACTGTGTTGTGGCTAAAGTACTCTTGGCTCTTTTCATTGCCGAAGTCCTCCAGGGGATCGGACCAAAGCAAATCACACATAGGCCCGAATGCTGGGGGCTCCTTAAACCGGTCCAACTAGGCCACAGAGACACAAATATAATACAGAATACAGAAATACACACACTTTCTTGTGGCCATGCATGAAATCCTTCTCATCCCACACACAGTGCAGCTGTTCACGCATGGCTTGGCAGTACCTTCTTTATGTCATCTAAGGTCTGTATTTCTGGGGACAGGCCACCGTGGACGCACAGGAACTGCTGGTTCATGAGAGCTGCCAAGGGCAGACAGTCAAACGCGCCCATACAGGCATCGTAAACCTGCTCTGAATACTTGATTTTACCTGAACAGTGAGGGGGAAAAACAGTAAAAAAAAAAAGTGAGTACACAGGAAAAGTAGTCATTTTGGTCACACTTTAGTTTGGGGACCAATTCTCACTATTAACTAACCATTAACCATTACTTCTCAATAAACACCTAATTTGCTGCTTATTAATAGTTAGCAAGGTAGTAGTTAAGTTTAGGTATGGGGTAGGATTAAGGGATCTAAAATATAATCATGAAGAATAAAGCATTAATACTGTATGTGCTTTATATGTACTAATAAATAGCCAATATGCTAGTAATATGCATGCTAATAAGCAACTAGTAAATAGTGAGAATTGCTCCCTAAACTAAAGTGTTACCATAATGTTTTGTTAAATACATTCTCTTATTAAGCCAATATCTGTTTCTCTGTTTTGCAAAGACATTTTAATGCTACCACAACAAAATGAAGAGCAACGGATATGCATTAGATGTGTAACTGATGCTTTCGTTCTGAATTTTCATACTTGTGCTGCCACAGAGCATGATGGGAAATGTAGTTCGGTCGCACACATAAACCCTTATAAACCCACTGAATGAGAAGCATTTTTTTACTTTATCATTATTCTTTCCTCATAGATACCATCAACAATAAATACCATCAACAATTCACAATTACTTTTAATGATAAATATCAGATTAGCTTCTGCTAAGAATCTTTAATGGACGCGCCATTAAAATTCTGTGCTTAAAAAAACCCAACAATGTAAATACAACATTGTTATGGTGTTCATGTGCACTCTCTATTATTATTTATTTTGTTTTATTCATTTTATTTCATTTTTACCTGAAAACCACTTTTAATGTTAGTCAAGCTTTCAAAACAGGCTATATTTGCTACTGTACCTTTAAAGAGATAGTTCACCCAAAAATGAAAATTCTGTCATTATTTACTCGCCCTCATGTCATTCCAAACCCTTAAGACCTCCGTTCATCTTCGGAACACAAATTAAGATATTTTTGATGGAATCTGAGAGCTCTCTGACCCTCCCATAGACAGCAATGTAATTACCACGATCAAGGTTCAGACGTAGCAGGGAGATCGGTAAAATAATCCATGTGACATCAGGGGTTCAACCGGGTTCAAATACTTTTTGTGCGCAAAAGAAGCCGTTTTTTTTTCTTTTGTGCACAAAAATATTTGAACCCTTTTGATGTCACATGGATTATTTTACCGACCTCCTTGCTATGTTTCTGAACCTTGATCATGTAAGGACCCTTGCTGTCTATGGGAGGGTCAGAGAGCTGTCAGAATGCATCAAAAATATCTTAATTTGTGTTCCGAAGATGAACGGAGGTTTTACGAGTTTGGAACAACATGAGGGTGAGTAATTAATGACAGAATTTTCATTTTTGGGTGAACTATCCTTTTAAGACAAGAAAATATAAGATGCTATGATTAGTTATTTTCAGCTAATGCCATAATTAACACTGTAGTTGTTATCAAGTTGGGTCATATTCTAATAAAGTAAAAATTCTGACATTATAGGCATGACTGGGACTGCGTTGTTAACATTAAAGTTTGTTTACATAGTACATCACAAGTTCTTTCATTTCAAACAATCAAAAAATCTTGTTTTTCTACAGTATGCCTCCTAAGAGTAAACAAAGGTAAGTCATTATGAGAAAGAAACAAGAGGTGACATCATGTTTTTTTTAACAGTTATTTTGCAAAAACCACCTAATATATGTAGCAAACATCAGCTATTTTGTTATAACAGCACTTGTTTTTCTCTGGTCTCATTAGATTCCTACTGGGACCGAACTTTAGCGGTCAGCCCCATGTGTCTCAGTGCGTCACAAACACTCACACACAAGATAAACAGTGTCTCCAGACGGAGGAGGGTTTTTTTTTCTCTTAGTGTGTCGACGCTAGCCCTATTCTCATTATGTCTCAATACGCCGCCTCTCAAAAGTATTTGTAACCATGGCGACAGGTCAGTGGAGTAGACAGATAAAGAGTTTGCTGTCAACTCTGCACCTCTCCCTCCCACCTCACCTGTCTCTGTGCTCCACCGCTCGGCCTCATGGGAAAGCGCCATTCTGAAGCATTACCTCATACTCCACGTCCCACCCCTCCTCCACCCCTCCCAACTGCTCTGCGTTATAAACCTCATTCTCTTTAAATGGAAAGATTTGTCCTTTCAGGAACAATAGACATTGTAGGAAATTATCGAAGGGAACTGAGGGTTGTGCTCCGTTATTCTAATTTGATTATTTTCAGTGAAATATAGGGAGATGGAATTTATATAACCCATTTAAACTTTGTCATTGTTCTGAAACATGAACTGCAATTCAAATGTACATATAAACACAACATATAAAAACATTGCATACAAAACCAAATAACATAAAATGATTTATTCCAAGTTATGAAAAATGATATCAAATAAAAAATGTATATTATATATACAATTATGACAAATCAATCTGTTCTATTAATACGGGAAAACTGACAGGTCTGATATAGGAAAATATATGGATATGGAATGCATGTACTCCTTTTAAAACATTAATTACTAATCAAAAATACAAAAATCATTACAAATGTTGGAATATATTATAAATATAAATTACCATTCTACAGTTTGGGGCTGGTAAGATTTTTAAATTTTTTAAAAGTCTCTTATGCTCAACAAGGCTGCAGTTATTTGTTCAAAAATATAGTAAAAACAATCATGTGAAATATTATCCCAATTTAAAATATTTGTTTATTTTACATATTTTAAAAAGTAACTTAAATGCTGATTTGCTGCTCAAAAATGTCTTATTCTTTTTAAAAAACGACTGTGCCTCTTAATATTATTTAATTAATTATATAATTAATATATAACTTACATAAACTATAATTTTTATAACATTATAGATGTCTTTACTAACACTTTTGATCAATTTAATGCATCTTTGATGAATAAAAGTATTCAAAGTAAAAATCATACTGACCCCAATCTTTCGAATAGTAGACTACTAGTGAAAGAGCATCTATTTGGATTTTTAAACCCTTTTTTGCCATTGCAAATTATATTTGCAGCATATTAATACAGCATTGCAAGCATAGTTTGAGTGTACACATGTGGCATACTCACATTCTTGTTTGAAGGTGAAATATTCTGTCAAATGTCTACATTCATGATTTCCTCTCAGTAAAAATAGCGTCTTTGGGTAGAGCATTTTCAGTGACCAGAGGTACAGAACACACTGCAGAGAAGGAGAGAGAAAAAGAGTTGAAACATATGGCCACATTCATGAGATACCTACAAACACCATGCTAATGCATGCCAGCGTAACGTCTGTGTAGTGTTAATGATACGCTTCCAATTACATTACATATGTTAACACATTTACTGTCAGTCCCCATCACCTTCACTCGCTGCCCTCGGACCAAACCATATCCTCGCTGTTTGAAGCTGGACACTGATTCCCTGACGTTTGTGACAGAATTGCCCATTCTCGTAATCAAAGGAACACTCGAGAGTTACAAGATAACTGGGATGAGACTATCAGCTGATAACCAAGCCTGCGTGGTCAACGGAAACTGTAGTTTATGCTTTCATGCGAGTTTCAACTCATTGTCAGGATTGAAAATGAAAAATGTAGATTTATTTTTAAGTGATTTTTAAGAAAATAATAAATGCAGGTATTACTGCGGGAAGACAGTTATGCTTCAGTCGCAACAGAAGTCATTTTTGAGCTACAGACACGGATGTTTGTATATGTTCATTAATATATCTTTGAATGTTTATACGCATTTAAAACCCTCTTAGCTCATGCATCACGTAAGAATACCCAGATATCAAGCCCACATCACTGACATACAAAGACAGAGGTTGAAATGAGCAAGTGTGTTTAATCTGACTCTGAGCTTGTGGGAAGGGAAACGAGTTTGAGAATTTCAGTCAAAGTCCGGCGCTTGAGGAATCTGATTTTACAGCAAAAGTCCAGATCGTGTGAAATGACCTACTGTACGTGCGTCACCATGCTTGAGACCTGTGAATAAAATGTGGAGCATCTCACTTCCTGTTTCTCCCACTACACACCAAGACATCGCTCAACAAAGTTTTCAGTGATCCTTCAGAAATCATTCCAATATGCTGATTTGCTGCTCAAGAAACATTCTATTATTATCAATGTTCAAAAGAACAATTTATTTGAAATAGAAATGTTTTGTAACATTATATATGGTCTGTACTGCCACTTTAGATCAATTTAATGCATCAGTGCTAAATACTGCCTGAACGAATAGTCAACTAATCAGTCTTCAGGGAGTCATGCATGACAGGTTCACCAGACCCCATTAGAATCCAGTTCTTATGAGCAAATACGTCTGTCCTGGGTGTATATGCCTGTAGCTCAGCACAGGATCAGCATGCTAATTAAAGCACCACTAGTGTTGTTTTTGGCGGCCTGCTTTAATTTTAGTTTTAGTCTAGTCTTTGTGTGAAACTGTCATTTTAGTTTTTATTAGTTTTAGTCACGTTCATACTCTTTTTAGTCTAGTCAAGTTTTAGTCGACTAAAAGTCTGAGCATTTTAGTCTAGTTTTAGTCGACGAAAACTGATGCCATTTAGTCTAGTTTTAGTCAATGAAAATTGTATTTTAGTCTCTTTTTAGAAATGCAATTCTATTTAACCCAGTCAATATAGTATAAGTACCTAGTAGTATAGACGAAACCAAAATTTTCTTTTAGCCAAACCCATTTCAAACAAGGTTATCTTATTATATTATTGTTACCTTATAGACTCAAGAATATATCCATTCCAGACACGGAAGACGCTCTGATTTGAATTTACAACATTTATTTTACCAACCAAACATCTTAGAAGTACACACACATAAATTTAAATAAAGACGAACCCCGGCTGGCCGGCCATCGGTCCCTTTCTCTGTGTCAGACTTAACTTTGTTTGGTTTTGGTCTTCTAAATCAGTGTTTCCCAACCTTTCTTTAGTCACGGCATCCTTTGTAAATGTTTACAAATTTGTGGCACCCTACAAAATTTATTTGGTCACAATATTTGAATTTCTAACTTTGATATGATAATTTGAAAAGTATAGATATTTGGTACAACAGAGAAGAACTGCAGAATATAATGTCATACAGATATTTTTAATATTATAAAAAAATCAGTAGGCTA